CGAGCCCAAATTGCCATTCTGCAGATGAGCTAAATAGATGGTGGTAATCTTAAGCCACTAAGTTGGGGGTGATATTTGACAAAGCAATAGATAACAAATATACTCATCTGTAGCTTTTTTTTTTTTTAATGATTTTTGCCATTGAGTGTCTGTGCTCACCAGAGAGATATAGAGAAAAACAGAGAGAGAGAAAATGAGAAATCTCCCCCCAAAAGGATGGCCACACTTCAATCCCTTCTCCTCTTGGAATTTTGGGCACACACACATACACACACACACATCCAGTGTGCTTTTCAGCTGCCAGGTCCAGAACTTGAATTGCAGTCAGCCATGTGGAAGTCCAGCACTTTAACCACTATGCCACTGCTGACCTCGGTGGCTTTTTATTACTTTCAGAATATTCACTGCAGTTCACATAAACACAACAGTGGGAAAATGTAATCACGTATCTTTCAATAACAGTCATTTATACAGTGATCATTATTCTATGCACTGGCCTTTCTGGCAGATTCTTCTACAGGTAGTAATAAACATGTAATCTTGATGATCTATATAACAATGTAAAGACCTTGTCCTGTAAAGACACTGTATACTTGTTAACTTTCCTAGAGAAAAGGGAACTAGGGACTCCTTAAGGCCCAAATATTAGCGATTAAATTGTAAGAAATTATTAGACTGATGGGGCTGGCAGGTGGTTAAAGTGCTGAACTCCCACATGGTCCACTATTGTTTGAGTCCCAGACTTGGTGGCTTGGTTTCTCACTTTCCCTTTCTCTCTCTTTGGTCAAATTAAAAATAAAAATAAATAAATAAATATTAAAAAGAAAGAAAGAAATCATTAGGCTGACCACAGTTTGAGTCCCAGACTCAATGGCTTGAAAATTATGCCAGGCACACGTGTATCAAAAATCCCAAAAATCCAGAGAGGAGAATGGAAGAGATTGTGGCATGGTCATCCCCACCCCCCTGGGGGGGTGATTTCTCACTTTCCCTATCTCTCTGTCTCTGTTTCTCTCCAGTAAACACACAAGCCCTATGGCAAAAACCTAACACAAATTATTGGATTTTTTTTAACCTAGCTGCTTATTATGGTAAAATATGGCACAAGAGAACTGGAGATGTGCAAAAACCCTACCTTTCCAGAAATGCCCCTCCCAGAAATGACCGCTGAAATAAATAGAGTGCTTCTAGGAGCACAGCAATGAAGGGGGCCAGCAGGTGGCACAGTGGTTAAGGCAATGGATCTCACAAGGTTGACTGCAGTTCGAGTACCAGATCTGGTGACTTGAAAACCATGCTGGGTGTGTGCCCAAACTCCCGAGAGGAAAATGGAGGAGAAGAGACTGCAGCGTGGCCATCCGCCCTGGGTGATGATTCTTCACTTTCCCTCTCTCTCTCGCTCTCTGAGCACACACCATGTATCAAATATGAAAGAAAATTTAAAAAAAAAAGAGAGAGAGAGAGAGAGAGAGACACAGCAACAATGAGTATTACTACACAAAAAGGGCTGAAGACTTTTTATACTGTGACTTAACATGCTGTGTTTCAGTTGGCTTGCATTGCAACAGGAAAATAGTGCTGACAGATTAATGAGGCAAATCTTCTTAAGTAAAAGTTGAGAAGCATGGTGTTGTATAATAATTTTGCTGGCCTTTGTCCTTGGTTCCTAGAACAGAGTCTCTAAACCCTTGAATCTCCCAAGTGACAGGAATGTCTTCATTATTCATGGCGGGTCCTCTGGACCACTGCTGAGCTTATGCTAATTCATGACACCCTGTGGACTCTTCAGTAATTTCTTTTTTTTTTTTTTTTTTTTGACAGGTTTTTGCTATAGGATGTGTGCGCTCGCCAGAAAGACAGAGAGACAGAAAGCAAGAAATCACCCCCCAGGGGGGATGGCCATGCCGCAATCCCTTCTCCTTCATTCTCCTCCTGGGATCCTGGGCACGCACACACACACACCCGGTATGAGTTTAAGCCACCGGGTCCGGGACTTGCACTGCAGTTGACTATGTGGGAGTCCAGTGACATAGCCATTATGCTAACTGCTGATCCTTTCAGTAATTTCAACAGGAGAGCTGGACAAACAGGAAAGACAACCATGGAATTATAAGGTTTGGGCTTTGCATTACTGCCTCAGGACATCAGCCTAACCTCACAACCTCCTGGGTAAGGGTGACTAAACACTGAGTTCAATGACTCAAACAATCATGATTACATAGTGAAACCCTAATAAAAAGTGTAGATACCCAACACTCTGCTGCTGATTCACATTATGTGGAGAGAGAAAAGAGAACCCTCATGACACGAAAGCTTTGCATTTGGGACCCTCCGAGACCTCATCCTATGCCCCTCTTTATCTGCCTGGTCTTGATTTATATCCTTCACAATAATATATAATATTAAACATAGAGCTTTCCACGGGAACCAGCAGTTAGCGTAATGGCTATGTCGCTGGACTCCCTCATAGTCGACCGCAGTTCGCGTCCTGGACCCGGTGGCTTAAAACTCATGCCGGGCGTGTGTGCGTGCGTGCCCAAGATCCTGAGAGAATGGAGGAGAAGGGATTGCAACGTGACTATCCCCCCGGGGGGTAATTTTTCACTTTTTGTCTCTATGTCTCTGTCTGTCTGGCGAGCACACGCACCCTATAGCAAAAACCTCTCAAAAAAAAAAACCATAGAGCTTCCCTGAGTTCTGTGAGTCTTTCTAGAAACTTTCCAATCCTGAAGGGGCAATGGGAGCTTCTAGTCAAAGTGCAGATGGCCTGGGAACCCCGTGGATGATCTTGTGACTAGCGTCTAAGGTGAAGGGAGGACTGTGGAGAACTGTGCCCTCCTCTTGTGGAATTCAACCTAACTTTGAACAGTCAGAACCGTACTACACATGGTAAGAAGCAACTAAATACCAAAGACATGAAGAAAAAATAGAAGACAAAGCTAATGGACAGCAGATATGGCAGTCAGAGTTAGCAATAATCACGATAGCAGTCACCTACAGAGTCAAAGAGGAGGAAAAAAAGACAGTTGCAAAGGCAAAAGAGAAAACTAGATGATTCTGAAAGAGACCACAGAAGTACAGCTGGGGGGTTAGGATAGCACGCAATATGTATACTTAACAGATGGGGGAGTCAGTCAGTCACTTAACAACTATGTATCAATAACCTGCTATATGGGACTAGCAGAAGGTGTAATGGCTACATCTCTGGACTCCCATGTAGTCGACCACAGTTAGAGTCCCAGAGCCGGTGGCTTAAACTCATTCTGAGCATGTGTGTGTGTGCGCCCAAGATCCTGAGAGGAGAATGGAGGAGAAGGGATTGTGGTGTGGTCATCCCCCCTGGGGGGGGGGGTGATTTCTCGCTTTCTGTATCTCTCTGTCATTCTGGCAAGCACATGCGCCCTATAGCAAAAACCTCTCTAAATACATAAATAAATAAATAAATAACCTGCTACACGTAAAGTACTGAGCTAGGTACTAAAACACTGTGGTGTGGCCCAAACATGATGTCACAGGCAGAAGGAGACACCACATGGAAGATGAGGCTATGTGGGAGGCCCAGGTTCATTTCCTGGCCCAACCTAAATAGGCAAGGTGTAGTGGTGCATGCTTGTGGCCACTGCTAACGTGGCAAGACCCTGTCAAAAATACTTCTCTCCCACACACTCTCTCTTATGAAACAAACCACAAGAATACTGTAATACTGTGGTGAACAAGGAAAAAACAGCTTCCACTCTCACGAAGTTTACATTCTAGTGGGGGAGACAACTTTAAACAGTTACAACATTAACTATATAATTGTTATTAAGTTACATGCTACAGGGAATAAGTATATAGTAGAATAAAGGCTAGATAAACATATGCACAGATCAATAATGAGCTGTGTCTACAGTTCTAAGACCTGCACACCTTCATCTCTGTTTGTAAATGTATAAAACACAATGTTCTACTTGCTAGTAAGGAAGTAAAAAATAATGTGCTTTTTTGGGTGTGTTTGCTAGGGCATGAGCACTAGCCAGAGAGACAGAGAGAGGAGAGGGGGAATGGTCACATGGCAATCTCTTCTCCATCTCCCTCTCCCTTCGGGATTTTGGGCACACACACACACACACACACACACACACACACACACCTGGAGGGTTTCTCAAGCCACTGGGTCCAGGATTCAACTGTGCCTAGCAATGTGGGATCTGGCCACCTTAACTACCAGGCCATGGAGCCAGCCCCAGGATAATGTACATTTTAAAGAGGTTTCATCAATAACAGAAAAACCTTTACCCTACCTTCCATTAAAAATAGCATTCCTGGTCAGTATCTGATATTTAAACATCTACTGAATATGTTTCTCCAATTCAGTTTCTAAATATGCAGTTACAACTTCTACACAAATTTAAAAGTTATATGCTCCCTCTAAGATAACAAGAATATTTCTGAGAACTCAAAAAATACATAGAGAAATGGATATAGATACACACACACACACACACACACATATATATATTCCTGAATCAGCAGATAATGACATTCTGACTTTGGACAAAAAAGATTCAGATACACATTTCATCAAGATGCACAGATCAATTTCTACTAAATGTTAGAAATTACTAATAATCGACATTTTTTTTAGAAGAGATGGATTAATTTTGAAGGCGTTCATTTTTTTTTTTTTGAGAGAGATTTTCACTGTAGGGCGCGTGCGCTCGCCAGACAGACAGAGAGAGACATAGAGACAGAAAGCGAGAAATCACCCCCCGGGGGGGATGGTCACACTGCAATCCCTTCTCCTCCATTCTCCTCTCAGGATCTTGGGCAAGCACGCACACGCGCCCGGCGTGAGTTTTAAGCCACCGGGTCCGGGACACGAACCGCGGTCAACTACGTGGGAGTCCAGCGACATAGCCATTACGCTAACTGCTGGTTCCCAAGGTGTTCATTTTTAATAAAAAATTCCCTCAAACCTCTTTCCACACATTAGCCAATTAACAACCAGAGACTCTTACCTGTAGTCATCTAACTGTACCAGAAATCGTACAATGTCGTGATGAGCTTTCAGTACGAGCAGTTCAGTGTAGGGGTTCTGGGTTTGTTCTTCCCCTATTGTCTGTAATGGAGATTTCTTGTATTTGGTGGTGGTGGGGGAGAACAAAAACAGAAAACAAAGAGATAAAATGACTTATGACAAAAGACCATACTGGAATATAACTGCATGGCGTTAAAAAGGCCTTAAAACACCAGGTTCTAATAACTCAATTTCCCCTAATATCAGGTAAATAACTCCCAATTCCACACAAAATATTTCTCCCACTTTGAATTCTCACCATCAATTTTAGTATTTTTCAAGGCACAATAAATTTACAAACACAATGAAATTTTATTTTGCGTACATAAATTTTATCAGTGAAACTGACTTAAAAGAGTAATGGGCCAATCTGACTCAATATTTCAGAATGAGTGTTTCTTAATTAAAATATGGTAGAAAAGGGGACCAGCAGGAGGTGTGGTGGTGAAGGTGCTAGACTCCCACATGGCTGACCGTAGTTCAAGTCCTAGACCTGAAAGCTTGCTTTATTTCTTTCTCTCTCTCTCTCTCTCTTTCTCTCTCTCTCTCTCTGGTGAGCACACATGCCCTATAACAAATTTTTTAAAATAATAATACACAAAATTAAATATTAAAAAGAAGAAGAAGAAGAATATGGCAGAAACAAGGGCCAGACACAGTGGTACCTACATGGGAAGATTGCAGGTTTCTGTCCTGAGACCTCCCATACACTGGGCATATGTTCACCCAAGATCCAGGGTTGGCTGAAGTTGGGGGTGGGTTGGCGGGGGTCCAGACCCTGTTGGGATGCTTGCCCTCTCTTTCATGAAAGAATTAATTAAAAAAAAAAAAACCTGCAGATTAAAGGAATAAACAGACTAAAATAGTGCCTAGCCCATTATAGGTCCTCTGTCCGTGTTTGCTAAATGAATAAAACAAAAATGAAATCATTTAGCCTCAGTGAATTTGATAAATTCAACTCTGGACAATAATATTGATAAAGAGAACTGTTAACATTATGGAGTATTATGCAGCAAGCTACATTCCAGACACTGCCAAACACACATGCATATAAGTTACTCAGTAATACTGCAAGCCAGGGCTCATTAACCCCATTTTGGGAGTTAAACCCAGTACTATTTAATGGTAAAGTCCTTATTCTTTTTTTTTTTTGGAGAGATTTTCACTGTAGGGCGCGTGCGCTCGCCAGACAGACAGAGAGAGACATAGAGACAGAAAGCGAGAAATCACCCCCCAGGGGGGATGGTCACGCCGCAATCCCTTCTCCTCCATTCTCCTCTCGGGATCTTGGGCATGCACGCACACGCGCCCGGCGTGAGTTTTAAGCCACCGGGTCCAGGACACGAACCGCGGTTGACTACGTGGGAGTCCAGCGACATAGCCATTACGCTAACTGCTGGTTCCCGATAAAGTCCTTATTCTTTACCTCTAAACCAGAGTCTTCTTGACCCTACTGACATTTTAGACCATATTGTTTTGTTGCTGAGTGCTGTCCTGTGCATTGTGGGATATTTAGCAACATCCCTGGTCTGTACAATTAGAAGCCAATAGGAAACCTCTGCTCCTCCAAGCTATGACAATCAAAAATGTCTCCAGACATTGCCCAAAGTCCCCTGTGGGGCAAAATCAGCCCAGTTGAGAAATACTGCGTAAACTAGAAGCCTAAAGTTTTTACATAAAATAGGGGAAACTCATAGGTTCGATCATGTAAAAATCTATAGCAGTTATACAACTGAAATTCTTGTATATGAGGAAATGTATAAATTAACATGTGTTTTCAAAAACATGTACCCTGGGACCAGCAGATGGCATAATGGTTACATCGTTAGTCAACCATAGTTGGAGTCCTGGACCTGGCAGCTTAAACTCACCCAGGGCCCTTCTGCATGCTTGCCCCAAATCCCAGGAGCAAAATGGAGGAAAATAGATTGTGGTGGGATCACCTCCCATCCCCCCAGGGTAATTTCTCATTTTCTGTCTCTCTCTCTCTGGCAAGGGCAGGCACCCTCTAGCAAAATATTCTAAAAAAATAAGTAAAATAAAAAATCTGAACACTATATAAATTGCTCCCCTGAAATGAAAGCTTGCAAAGAATAGAATTAGTTGATCACATTACATGATTATAAAATAATTGGGTAACACAGATTGTCACATGTATCATGTATGGCTATTCAGTGACCTACTATTCCTCCATAATCTGAAGGCTTTCACACTAATCAGAAATAGGAATTTTTAAAAAATAGACCATGAGTCTCCAATGCAAAGATAAGAGGAAGTTAAAACTGAGAAGTAAGGCTGCCTACAATTCAATTCAATTTTTTACTTTTAACGGTCAAAACGAATAAGTCCTATGAAAAACAAAATGGAATTCAACCCTGATTCTGTTCTTGTATGGCACATGGAACAACTTCTGCACCTCAACATTTTTAAAGTCGCACAATTATCTCATTCACATTTCAAACGTGAATCTCATTACACAGCCTATTCGATTTCAGGCCCGTGATAAACATGTGACTAGGGAACCAATACTAGCAGTTAAATAGAAAAACACTGTCATGACTTTAAGGCAAATTATTTATTTTTTAAATAACTATCTTTTTTTCGGTTCTTGGATAGTCAAATCCATCTTATGTTCTCCGAACGAGGAGCAGTAGATGCTGAGAAGAGGCACCACTTGGAATAGACGGAAAGTGGAAAGTTGTGGTCGCTCTCGGGCGTTTCTAGCCCAGTGGCTACTGTGTGAAACTGACGGGGCTCAAGCAGCAGGGGTGTCGGGGCCTACGGTCCCACCTGACTGCTGCCGGCGGGGTGTCCCAGCGCCT